TTCCCTGTTGAAACGTAATCCCCTCAAAAATTTATTTTCTACAATCTATTTCTTTTTCGTTAATTTCTGCTTTTGTTAATCATTTTTTCTTCATTTCTTATGCCTAATATTTTCTTTCATTCATTTTCATTTTTATGTCGCATTTGTTCAATAGTCTGTTTTATTTATTTCCTTACTGTTTGTCTGAAGAAACAATATCGTTGTGGATTGCGAATGCTTCACTCAGTAAACTTATCTCTTCCGGGGATCTAGCCGCCTCCTTCATTATCTATTATCATTAAGGGACTGTTTATGTCTTCCAATTGATTTAAGTACACTTTAGCTTCTTGTATTTGATTTGAGTATTATTACTTGCTGTGTTTAGAAAGAAGGTAACCGCAGAGGTGCTGGCAGCAGAGGCGGCGAAAGAAATTTCGGAAAACGAACAAAAATAATTTCTGCGATCGATTATTGATGTACGCACCTCTGATGATTGCTTTGCTAATGCCATTTGTTTTCCTCTACTTTGTAGATATACTAAGAGAATGTTAAGGACGATGCAAATGTGCACGATTAATTTTTTAATGGATTGGTAAGTTTACGGTGTTTAATGCTCTTTAGTAAATTTCTGACTATTTTCGAACAGAGAGCTTTCAACCAAAGTAACCTGTTAACGACTGGTTCTCTTAAAAAGGATACTGTGGTATGCTGTAAGCACGGTACTGTAAGGATGATGCATTTGGCGCAACGGCCTTGGTATCCAGCAGTCAAAATAAGCGTGCAGATATATAGCGCTTTCGAAAATATCATTGGCATGGTGACCCACGCAGTGACTTAACATAAATTAGAATAGCACATGGAAACGGCAGACTTAATGTGGTACAGTATTACCGGCTTTTAATAGTACGGATCGGCCAGAATATTTCTGCGTGCGATGCCCTTCGAGGTACTTCGAATATGCTATTTGACTGATTGGTTCAGATCAGTTATCATGGAACGGTATCTTAAATAATAGGCCAATTGATCATACTAATTCGGTAACAGCATAAAAGTGCCAGTGTGGCATTCAAAGAGAAACCTTCGGTGTTGTATGATCGTTTTTGGTTATTAGTAGATAGCTGGGAGTTTTTTATGCGCAGTGTACATTGTTTGTGAATAATACTCTTTTACGACAGTAGAGTCGGCATTATTAAGACATTATTACTAATCTTCCAACCTTTGAAGGAATGGATCATCATACCAGATACTAACACAATGCAATTTTAGACGCTTTGATGTTGTGTAAGGAGCAGTGAAGGGTCTCCGTTTGATATTAGTGAAAATAAGGGTTTCTGTTGATAAACAAAACTTACATCTACCTCCACCAAAATTCCTATACGTTGTACCCAATGCCATAATGCTCGTAAACACGGACTCAACCGATTTGGCCGATTGCTTTAATCGCGCTCGTAGCAGATTCCGTTACTGGTTTGTGATACCTGCAAACTAGTGAATTGAAACAATTTTTCGCAGTATTCCTCTGCTAAACCCTTTCTCGGTAGTACCTGATGCGTTGTGCCTCAAGATTGTTGCTCAGCGTTATCAGGAAGATTTTGTTCTTGCGACACTTCACATAAGTAAATTCTGACTATTCTCTCAGGCATTCGTGAAGTGTATTGTGCTGACGAATTTAATGATGCCAGTTATTAGTCAATGCCTACATTTTCGGATCCCGGAGCCAGTGTCCAGCTTTTCCTATCTTGTGCCAGCGTTAGAGCTGTGGCGGAAGACAATCTGCGTCTGGTACAGAATGCTTTAAGACAATTACCCAGGTTAGTTTTGGCCCTAGTAATTCCGTTGATCCGTCGGCGCTAAGTAGTAGCTCTTTCGCCTTCATCTCTGGAAGGATTAGAAGAACGTATCTAAACCAACGCAGTTGTGACTTCTCAGTCCAGAGAAGCAGCGGCTACACATCAATTATCTCTCGGATATCTGAAGTATGGATCATGTTGAGACGCGTGAACCTAGCGATTCGTTTCGAAAAGCCTATTTCACCCGCGTCTACCCGAAATCGAATTCTTTTAGCCATGACTCAGACTCATGACCGTAAGTGAGTATTAGGATGAAAATTGCCTGAATACAGACAATTCAGCTCTGTCCTAAACGCGACAGTTCGGGCAGTTTCACCCAGGTAGCCCTTAGCCATTTCTATTCGCCGGTCAATCGCTTCCTCCCATTTCCCATCATCAGTAAGCAGGACCTTGAGGTATGTGAACATTTCTACGTGTTTCACTGATTCTCCAACAGTGAATCTTCCAATGTGCAATCTGAAGAGCGCAACAGGCAGTACAACGAAAAGCACTAGGCTGTTTTTGATACGTTTACAAGCATGCTGCGCACAACAGTCATCAGTAAACCCCTCTTCGCAATGCTCGAAATACGTACAGAAGATGCCAGTAAGACAATGTTGTCTGGAAAGTGCAAGCTTCTCGTTTAGACATCTCCTACGCTGATATACTTGCCGCCTGAGTATCCTATCCATGTACAGCAAAAACCGGAGAGGGAACAGAACGCAGCCTTGATAGAGACTAGTGCCAACGCTGTAAAGTCTCGACTTAAGGCTATTTATTATGACGCAGTACCTGCTCTCAGTATACAGTGACTGGATGGCTGGTAGCAACTGGAATGATTCATTGTAACGGATGCATTGAAATCGCTCGTTAGAATGATGAATTTTGGCACTTCTTACAGACAACCTTTTACTTCCTCCAGGAAGGACTCATCCTTTCTCCAAAATGGGTGCACAACTCTAGCAAGGTCAACGCTTTAGCTTCAATCAGAGGACTGTCACTTCTCTACTGACAGGCTTTCATTCAGTGATTCTTTTAGCCAGGCTGGCTCTCACTCGAACACAGA